CAGTTCTGTCCTGGTCTTTGAAGGTCCACGACGCTGGTTCTGAGGGCAGCCACCACCGTGCGACTGCCGGGGCTATTGTCATATTCTTCTTTGATTTGTCTGCTCGTGGATTAGTTTGTTTATACGGGGGTCAGTAGGCTTTCTCTGTAACGGGTCAGATGGCGGATGATGTAGGCTTTCCTAAAGTCTCTGCTGGGACTGGAAATTACACACCGCATCGTAAGCAACAAAGGGAGCGTCTGCAGAGTCTCGTGAGGATGTGACCAGGTGCCTGACCGTCCCTCGAACCACACGGCTCCTTGGAGAGGTCCTCTGATGGTCTGCCATCCGCCAGGCAGTCACGTTAGCAGCACAACTCTTTCCTCGATCTGACTCTGCCACCAGCGCCTTAGGCTAATGCCTTTGCTGGCGACCGAGGCCTGGACCTCCTTCCCGCTCAGTTAAGAGTGAGTGGTCTCCTCTCGGAGATGTGGCCGAGGTTCAGGGACTAACACACAGAAAGTGCCCACCCTGTGTCTGCCACGTGCCCGACAAAAAATATGTAAGATTCCAAAAAGAAGCGCACACCAGGGTTTCGTACTGAAATCCTGTCATCCGTAGACACGTTGATGAAATGGTCACATCTCTGGGGTGGGTGTGAGAAGTCAGAGAGCTCGATGCAGAAGGTAGACCACGTTCGAGAATTCCTTATCAGGAGTTCCGAGTTGTAAGGTTGTGCGCTAACAGAATGTCGGGGTCACGTATAAATATTCTCTAGTGAATGGACACGTTCCAGAATTAGTCCCTGTTCCGCTAGCCTCCCCCGACCCCCCCACCAACCCTCACCGCTTAATCCTGGCCCTGGCCTCATGGGATTTTGTCCTCTGTCTGCTGTGGACTGTTGGGTGCTGTGGGGGGGCAGCAGTATACAAGTCAGTGCATGCCCACTTCAAGATCAAGAGGCAAAGTTTCATGAAATCACCTTGGAGGGGGCGCCTGGGGGGCTCAGTCGGTTGAGCATCTGACTCTTGGTTTATGTTCAGGTCACGATCTCAAGGTTCGTGAGATTGTGCCCCGCGTCAGGCTGCCCGCTGTCATCTCGGAGCCTGCTTGGGATTCCCTGTCTCCCTCTCTCTCTGCCCCCTCCCTCCCATGCTCTCTCTCTCTCAAAATAAATAAATAAGCATTAAAAAAAATCACCCCGAAGAGCCCTCCGTAGGGAAACCATTGACAAAGGAGAGGCAAAGCCATCAGTATGTAAGAGGGGTCGCAGCGATCATGATATGAAAGTTTCTCCTGAAGATGAGATTTGGTTGCCGAAGGATTAAGAGGGTTCAAGGGATGCAGAAACCCTTCCTCAGTGCTTTTCTGACCGTGGCCCCCTCTTTACAGCTGCCCTGTGGAAAAGACCCTGTTAAGGATCTGATACAAAGGGTCACCATACACTTTTGTTAGAAAATTTTGCTGGAAGGTCACACTGAGTTCATTCTTGGTTTTCAGAGATTAGTGGGTGACTTCAGTTACAATCTGAATTGTCACAATTGTTGCTTTTGGTTTTCAAGATAAAATTGTCATCAAATGTTAGGCCGTTATTTACCATGATCTTTAGAACCTTTTTTTTTTTTTTTTTTACCATGATTCACTTTATGTGTCCTTGTCTTGTATACTGAAACTTTGAGTTAACCTCACAAGTATTTTTCATTGAATAATAATTGAGGAAATGAGATTATTTTTGTGAAGCTGTGTTATTTCCCTTTAGGCAGCCCTGAGAAACAAATTCATAAGAAACTTTGTAGAAAGCCAGCTGCACATTGATGTAGACAAGCTGATGGAAAAGCTCCAGACTTACGGTAAGTGGGCGGGTGTGCGGGTGTAAGCCGGTGGGCGTGTGTAATTGTGCGAGCACACGTGGGCGTGTACGTGGGTAGGTGTGCAAGCTGGAGGCCAGGTGTGCAAAAGCATACGTGGGCAGGTGTGTAATGTAAGTGTGCGGGTGTGCGAGTGCACATGATGGGTGTGTGAGTGTACAACGGTGGGTGTGGCAGGGTCCGCTTCCCGATTGGCCCGCCGCCGGGGTGCTCTTCCTCCTGCCTCTAAGTTTCGGGGTGACACTGTCCAGTCGCTCTTCCCCTCGGGTTTCTGGTTTTTCGTCCACAAGACTAGAAATGCTCTCGTTTGTTCATCCCTGCGGTTTTCTGATTTGCCGAGTCGGGGCTTGAGTAGCAGGGAGCACACTTGGAGAGGAAGGCTTCTGATACCAAAGGCAAGAATTCTGAGACTTCAGATAAGTTTATGGAACGAGGGAGTGAGCGTTCCTGAGTCAGGAGCTGACGGAAAGCAGGTGCGTCGATTGGAAGATTTGGAGCTGAGGCTAGAAGGTTCTGTCAATCAGCGGACGGTTGTATTGCCTCCGTAGTTTGTCAGTGCATGAATCCATTTGTTTGTTTCTTTTAAGTTTATTTGTTTTTGAGAGAGAGAGAGAGAGAGAGAGAGAGAGAGAGAGAGCATGTGCAGCAGAGGGGAGGGGCAGAGAGAGAGGGAGACACAGAATCTGAAACGGATCTGCGCGGATAGCAGAGAGCCTGATGCGGGGCTCGAACCCGCAAACTGGGAGATCATGACCTGAGCTGAAGTTGGACACTTAACCGACTGAGCCACTCAGGCTGCCCCGCGTGAGTTCATTTACTGAGCGAGCGCACAGGAGAGTCGGGTTCTGTGCTGGGATCTGGAGACCCTGCCCCACCATCCCGGGCGGGGCGCAGACGGCTGTGTCAGGACCAACGGCTCTGAGGTGGAATCAGGCCCTGCCCAGTGTGTCCCAGGGGTGCTCTTAGGAGCCCGGCCTGGCCGGGGGCAGGATGGGAATAGAGGAAGGACCCGAAAGGAAGGGGGGAGTCTCTGAATCCTGGCACTCTGCCCATGAGCAGGAGGGGCTGGTGTCCACCTGCATCTGGAGGTCAGCGGAGAGCCAGGCATCGTAGGAGGCACGATATTTCCCTCTTATGACAAAAAAAGTTTGGTGAATTTACTGCCTTAGGAAAATTAATGTGGGG